CTCTAATCATGTATTGTGAAGGATGATTCCCATGCCCTCCTATCAGTTTCTAAACTATCCGTAACATTTCTAAAACATACCTGAAAGTAGAGTGTAATATCCAGAACTTCCAGAATCCAGAACTTCAGTTTTCCAAACTGTCTTCCCACTGCTCAACAAAAGCAACGCCTGTATCACTGGACAGTGATATTACCAGCTCATAGTCTCCCTTGCCAGGAAGGCAGAGCCTCCCTTTCCCCAGAAAATCCACACTCAACAAAGCTCAGAGGCCAAGGTTTGGGTCCAGCACTACTACTTCTTACAGGGTTAGATAGAGGGAGGGATCTGGGGATTAATAAAGACAAAACAGCCAGTCACTGTTGAAAGAAGAATGACAATTTTATTTACAGGGGTGTTGACTTCTACACCATCAACAGCACCCTAGGAAGTAAATCAGATCAAAGTCCAAGCTCCTAAGCCCCTGGCACCTTGCAGATAATCTGCATATTTGTAAACATGCCTTGTTGTCAGTAGGGAAAATAAGGAAATAGCACCTAGCTGTGTGGCAGTCAGCAACCCCAGAGTACTGCAGATCAACTCTAGATAAGTGAAGAAAAGCAGACTCCCAGAGGTCCCCTACAGGTGATCCCTTACACATATAAAAATAAAAATTAGTGTCTGTCTTAGTATTTCCAGGACTTCAACATCTATCATGCCCATCATAGAAAAGCCTGCCCAAGCCATGCAGACCCTCTGTTTTAGGTAAACAGATTTTCCTTGAAAATAACCCATCATTGATAACTCATTTGTCCTGAAGACTCAGCTAGACCTTCGTTGAGGGGTAGCTTGCTGCAAGGAAAGCATGATTTACTTTCTCCACAAGTGGCCTTTGACTTGCTGGCGTTTTTTTGTGCCTCAAGACAGACAAGGCTAAAAGAAGCTGCCCAGATTTTAATCCTGTGGTCTAGGGATCCCTTTTCATACCTGAAGTGACCTTTAGTATGAGTTCCAAAAGACAGCGTCTTCCTAAAGAGACCCTGATCTCACAAGCCTAAATGATTTTGAGTAGCCAATTGAGAAATCTAGAAAAGTTACCCAATTAAAATTTAAAGTGCCCATTTAGACTAGAGAATAAATATAATTTTTAGGATCTTAAGGCAGAAGGAATGTCCCCTGAGAACTACTCAGTATGCTTGCTGTGTTAAGTGCCTGGGGGGCAGCTAAGCCAGAAACTGCCTGGTGGTTCCAATTGCAGCCACATGGTAAGTCACGATGTCAAGATCTCTCCATGTCAGTAAGGAAAAGCTGGTCTTCTCCAGGGAGTCCCACTGTGGTGTCTTGTACCACGAAAACCAAGACTGCAATCCCATCATCTCTGCAGCTTCTCCAAGTGGCATTTTTGGAGGAAACAGTTAAACATTTCTCCAGAGGGAGGGTTACTTAGCATATCAAAGAGTTTAGGAGCACACCTTGTAACTTAAATTAACACCTTTGGCAGCCAAAAAGTCTGTATTTTAAGCAGGCCTAAGGCAAGCAGAGGAACATGTGGGAAAAGGTTGGCTTGGCTTCCAGCTTTACTAAGCTGACATGGCCAATGATTAGGAAATTTGTTCCTTTAAATTCTTATTCCCGGCTGCCTTTCCCAGATTAAGGTTGGAGCGGACCATAACTGGTCAAACCTGTTTTTGAGAATCCATTAGCACCAAGGCTGGCAGATTTCTCATTAGTATCGAATGTCTCATTAGAAAGCTGAATCAAATCAGAAGGAACCAGGTATACATGACACTCTGGAACCCAGATTGGAGATTCACCATTCTCTGGAAAAATGCAAATAGACACAAGAGCCCACACCAAAACAGGAACTGGCCCTCTCCAAAGAATCCAGGGAAGATCTATTCATTTATCCAGAGGCTTTTTCTGCACAGAGGATGGCCAATGATGAATTGATGCAGAATTATTAGAATTACCCACTTTAAAAAAATTTAAAATATAAGTAGGGTGAGGCAAACCAAGGGGACCCTCAAGGTCCCCCTTATTTAACCAAATAAGCTTTTAAAGTGTGATGGACCTGTTCCACAATAGCCTGTCCTTGATGGATGTAAGGAATGCCAGTTCTAGGGGTAATTACAAAATCCTGACAAAACTGATTGAAAGTTGACACATGGTAGGGTTATTAGTCATGCCTAGAGGCAAATATACCCATTGATACCCTCTTGTAAGACTCTATTAAATTAAGAGATGGAACATTGAACACAAAATGCTGACAATCAGCAGGGTGCAGAGGAATATTGAAAATACAATCCTTTAAATCCACCACAAGTAAATGACAATTTTTTGGGATGGCCACAGGGCCTGGCAACCCTGGCTGAGTGGTACCCATGGGAATCGTGGTATTATTGACATGTCTCAAGTCTTGTAACAGCCTCAATTACCTCATTTTTTCTTAACAAGAAATATTGGGGTATTCCAGGGATAAGTAGAAGGAACAATGTGACCTGCATTGTGTTGCTCCTGAACCAGGGCATGAGAAGCCTCCAATTTTATTTCAGATAAGGGCCATTGTTCTACCAAACAGATTTATCATTTTTCCAGGTGATAAGAGTTGGAGCTATAGGAAGCTGCGGTACAATGGGTCCCATTTAAATGTCCCAAACCTCTCCTGTCTCCAGGGCCCCTCTGTACTGGGGGTCTGTCTAACACAGGCAGGGGTCGCCCTATAATTTCTTCCCAATCCCTTTTCCTGGGCAATAGCCTGCTCTTTAAGCATACCCTGCACAGGAGTCATGACCCCATTGCTTCAAGAACATCTGGGTTCATTACTAAATTAGTTACAGATAAATATTGTGGGTATACCTCATTGTTTGACAATTTTGAGGAACAGAATCTCTAGCTAAGCCAAATTGTATATTTAGACTTTAGTTTAAATGATGAAAATTATTAGGCTGTAGAGCTCTTTCTACCTGATTCAAATCTACCATTTTCATTAATCAATCTGTTAACTTGATCCCTTTAGCCAGTAGATAGGGGAAAGGCCTGAACAGCTACCAATGTGACCCATAAAACATTGAATTTTTTAGGTGAACAGAATATTGAAATTGTGCAAGTAACATTTTTTTTAAGATTTGTTTTTTTTGCTTCCAGCACATGAAAGGTCTTTGGTCATCTGTTTAACAGGGGACAGGTGCTGAGGGGGTGAAAGTGCCCTGGCCCATGGGGCTCCGGTAATTCGTGAGGCCGAGGTGGATCACGCCTGAAAATGATGGGCAGGAAAGAAAGAACAGGACCAAGCAGGTTTTGTCAAGACCCAACTTTATTGAAACCAAGGGGCTTTTTAAAGGAAAGGAGGAAGCAGAGAAAAAGGAGGTGGGGGAGGAATGAATGTTAATTGCTCTCAGGCCAGGTATCCAGAATCTCCTATATTTATTTCAAGCACTAAGAAAGTGGGGGAAGGAATAGGTGTTAGTTGCTTCTCAGGCCAGGTCTGGAACCTGAGAGGTGTGATGCTAGACTAGCTGGCGGCTAGCTAGGCATGGCAGGTCACCAAGGCTGGCTTCTGACATGAAAAGACCCCAGTGCAGGGGTTTGCAGGTTGGGGCTGAGGATGGTCCTGCCTGGCTTTCTCCCATAGTGTGATGCTCAGGCCACAGAGGCTGCCTATGCATACAGCTCACAGGGTCCCTCAGTACTCTCTCCGATTGGGATGCCACAGGAGCACCCAACAATCAGGGTAGTCTGTGTCCTGTCTCAGGTCAGGGGAAGGAGGGCAGGGCACAGCTTGTCCCACCCCAGCAGCTTGAGGGTCTGGGCTGCAGTTGTACTCCCAGTCTGCTTGCCACATTGAGTGGGTAGCTGGGGCTGGAGAACGTTATAATCTTCACAGTCGGGAAAGGTCAGGGGAAGAAGAACCAGGAAGGGACCTCTGGCCAGAAACCTCTGCCACAGCCAGGGCAGGAGACTAAGGTCAGGGTTGTGAGGGTGGCTCAGCCCAGCCCGCAGGTCTCCCCTGTGCTAAGGGGCCCTGGAGAGGAGCGCTGGTGGGGAAGGAGGGCCCTGCTGCTGGTGGTGGTTGGGATACAGCTGCAGGTCGTTGGGGTTAAGGGTTCTGTGTCCTCTCAGGGGGCAGGGATGTGCCTGCCCCCAGGCGTCTGTCAGTCAGGTGGCTTGGGGAGCTGCTGGCCCAGGTCTCCCCGATCTGAGTCCCCGAAGTGCTTTGATGTTGGAGGGGCTGTAGAGTGGGGTGGGTGGGCTGCGGTCTGGACTGG